CTCTCTCTCTCTCTCTCTCTCTCTCTCTCTCTCTCTCTCTCTCTCTCTCTCTCTCTCTCTCTCTCTCTCTTTTTAATTTTATAAACAATTTTCTGAGATCTATATGGGACTGCAATGCATGGTTGGAAACAAATTATGTTTGAGGCTGGTGTACTGCTTTGCACCCAATTTATATAGTTTAATTAAAACAGCATAAAAATAATATTGGCTGAGGCAAAGAGATTTGCAGGTGCAAAGAAAACAGTCTATGGGCAGATTGGCACTGACAGCCCAAGCTTTAAGCTGTCTTTTCAAACTGGTATTTTACTTGTGGATTTCAGCTTCTCTAATTCCCAGCCAGGAAGGCCAACAGAATACTGGCTGATAATTAGGAGAACTGGAAGTCCAGCACATCAGAAGGGAAATGGTTGTGAGAAGGCTGGTTTAAATTCATATCTGCAGCTTGGGGATTAAATCTTCATGTCTCTACCTCATTCTTTATTTGGGGGAGTTCATGTTCCCCATAATATAATTTCTGTCAGCATTGTCTTTATTGGCAGAGAACACTTAAAAATAAAATTGGTCAGTTTGTCCTACTTAACAGTCCAAGTGGGAGACCAAGTGGCATAATAAGGAAGTATTTTGCAAGTCAATTGAAGGGCAGAACAATCTAATTTGCACTTAACTGAGGGTATGGGAAAAGTCCCTCTTAGTTAAACTTATAAGCTATTTCCTGACTTTAAAGTATTTTATGTTTTGTCTGTTTAAATCTAGCATGCCATTTTCTGATCTGGGGAATTCTAAAGAATTGAGGCTGTTGAGAAAGTTGACAGACATCCTGTTCTGCATAGCTATACTGACTTAATATAATGGAGAACACCACCATGGGGAACATACAATGCAGTGTTTCTCAACCTCAACAAAAAATTAAGATGTGTGAACTTCAACTCCCAGAATTCTAGGAGTTGAAGTTTATGCATCTTAAAGTTGTCCAGTTTGAACATAGTGAATAGTGATTCTTTTTCATTCAAGACTATGCAAATGGATGCCCTCCCTATATGTAGAAAAAATACAAGGTTTCTTGGCATTGATTGGACTGGCTATGGGTGTTCAAAACATAGGATTGGCTCCTACCAGCCTACCCTACTTCAGTCAATTAGATTTCCCAGGCAACTTATACAACCTCTTTAGAAATATTCTCAACTGTTCAAAAATACCTAATGACCTATGTTTCTAAATAGTGTCAAAAGGCAATATTTAATGGCCAATCCAGATCTAAATGTACCTAGATAGTGGGGGCTGAAAATGGCTTGTGTATAATCCTAATATAAAGGCTTAATCACTTTAAAGCTCAATAGCACTACTACTAAATCTGGGGTCTCTTTTTTATTCCTCTTTATTTATTTTAATAAAGGAAATACTGATAGGAGCAAAGAATAACAATTCCTGCTCATTTTCCCCATCTGTAACAGTGAAGAGGGACGTAGTGGCTCAGTAGTTAAGAAACTGAGCTTGTCGATCAGAAAGGTTGACAGTTTGGTGGTTCGAATCCCTAGCGCCATGTAACCAAGTGAGCTCCCATTACTTGTCCCAGCTTCTGCCAACCTAGCAGTTCGAAAGCATGTAAAAAATGCAAGTAGAAAAGTAGGAATCTAGTGGAAAGGTAACAGTGTTCTGTACGCCTTTGGTGTTTAGTCATGTTGGCCACATGACCACGGAGACGTCTTTGGACAGCCCTGGATCTTTGGCTTTGAAACGGAGATGAGCACCACCTCCTAGAGTCAGGAACGACTAGCACATATTTGCAAGGGCAACCTTTACCTTTAACAGTTAAGAAGGGCAAATGAATGGATAGTGATGACAGCAGCCATAAGGGGAGAAGGCTCATGCAAGCCATTTTGCCTAATCCAAATCCCTGACCGCCAAAATCCTCCTGAGTCCAGCTCTATCTCTATGTTCTTCAGACACATGTAACTATAGTTAAATAGAATAGAATTATTTATTGGCCAAGTGTGATTGGACACATAAGGAATTTGTCTTTGGTGCATATGCTCTCAGTGTACATAAAAATACATTTATTAAGAATCATAAGACCCAACACTTAGTGATAGTCATAGGTTAGTAATAAGCAATCAAATCATACTAGGAAATAAACACAACAATACAAATCATAAAAATACAAGCAACATGGTTATAGTCATAAGTGGGAGGAAATAGGTAATAGGAAGGATGAGAAGAATAATAGTAATGTAGCCTTAGTAAATAGTTTGACAGTGTTGTGAGAATTAGTTGATTAGCAGAGTTATGGCATTCGGGGAAAAACTGTCCTTGTGTCTGGTTGTTTTGGTGTGCAGTGCCCTATAGCATCATTTTGAGGGTAGAAGCTGAAACAATTTATGTCCAGTATGTGAGGGGTCTGTAGATATTTTCTCAGCCCTCTTTTTAACTCATGAAGTATATAGGTCCTCAATAGAAGGCAGGCAGGTAGCAATTGTTTTTTTCTGCAGTTCTAATTATTTAAAACGTTTCCCCCCCCAGATCAAATCGTAAGAAAACACAACAGTATTAAATCTCCCATGAGATCTAATAGTGTTGGGGTTTATGATATTATATCTTTCAGGCTCACAGGGAAACAGATTCCAAATGCTGCTACTTTGATCATGTAGGATATTAATTTGAAGGAAGCAATTTTAACCTGCTGCATCATTCTTGTGGTATGCTTTTCTCACTACTCTTGTGGATGAACAGTAGAAAGAAGGAGGGTTAGCACCAACAATGTATGTATGTTGTACATCCAAAGATTAAAAACGAAACCCAAATATGTCAGAAAGTAAGCAAGGGCACTGCTAATTGAGATGATGACTTAACAGTAATTTTCTCGAACTTTATGCTGAGAAACTCAAGGCAAGACTGCTAGGGATGATGTATTGAAGCCAAGTACAGGACGACTTAAGATAAACATGGGCATGCATAGTTATTTCAATTTTTGTCAATGGGATGCTTATGGTTTTCCCTTTACTTTTTTTTAGAGTCATAAAGTCATGAATCATTGGGTTTGTTTCCTGTCCACCCCATTCCTTGTCCCCTTAATTCAAATTAAAGCAAATTTTATTCACCTTAATTTAGCCAACTTTATGTTTTGCTTTCTTGTTTGTGTGGCTGAATTAATGAGGATTAGGATTTGTATGTACTCCAGCGATCTTTTGAATCAGATGCAAAAAATGTATGGAATACATGTTGGCACTTGCTTGTATTGAAAAATGTCTCCTTAACAAACTCCCCTTGTATCTATCAAGCTAGAACAAGTGCTTGCATTCTTCTTGGTCTCTAGAAATGAAAGCATTAAGATGTTGAGACTGAATCTATTTCTGGACAACTACTGGCTTTATGGAGGATGCACAAGTTAGTTTTGGGCTATATCAAATTCCGTCGTGAAAAAAATCTTGGCCTTGCAAGGTTGAATTAAATTATTCAGATTGAAACAATTCTTTTCTTTTTGCAGGACATTGTAGTTTATCCCAATAGCATTTTTTCCTCTCTCTTCCACTACCCCTCCCCTCTTCCCAATTTAGCTTGAAATACACCAGGCATCCCTCTTAGGACATCTCTTCACTTATCTTCATAACTTAATCTGTTCTTTAGTGCTCTATTGTCCTCCAAAGTAGCAAAAAAAATAGATGAAGACATTGCTGTCTGACTTTCCAGTTGCTATAAAAAAGAAAGAAATGTAGAAAAGTGAAATGAATATAAAAGAAATAAGATGATTTTAGAACTAAGAGGAAGATTGTGGTCCTCTGGATATTTGTGATTGCGGTTTTCACTACACCCAGTCCGGTTGGCCAATGGTAAAGAATGCTGGGAGTTGTTACTCAGCAACCTCTGAATTGGCACAGGTTTTCTCTGCCTGATTCATAACTGGTCAGGCAGTTTTCTACTGACCTGCCAAAAGAAATTTATATGTACTAAACCCAAGTTTGGTCGATTCACTCAATGGATTGAAGATCTGAAGGCACTTACCCATGAATGGATTGCTGATAGACTTTCTAGGGTCAGTTGTAATGAAATATGTAATTCCTTTGTTCAAAATACAGTAAGTTAGAAAATGATGGTTATACAAATGTATTAAAATTTATGTGTGCTTGAATAATACATTATAAGTATATAAAATGTTAAGTTTTTTTCATATTAAGCACATTTTTATATATAGTTGTGTAAGTATATGCATTATAACTACCTTTGTGTTTTTATTTTTTTATTTTTTTTTAAACAGTAAAAATTAAATTTTTTAAAAAGCCCAAAGTGACATTCCCTTGTTCCAGTCCTTGATTCAATAAAAGCAGGTAAGCTAACTCTTTAGTGGACCGCTTTGGATTATAACCTGAATTTAGCTTTGTTCGTCTGTTCTAGAGACTAACTTTTATCTAAAATATTCCATTTACTTTCCGTTACTCCATCTCCAGAGCAGGATCTGATTTTATTTGGTAAATAGGTAGATAGTTCATGGACAATTAATGCTCTGGTATTAATTGTATGTCCTTTCTTTCTTCCACCAGCCCCCCAGATGTTTCCTTCTTAAGTTGTGAAAGTAATATGTTGGGATATCAAGAAGAAGAGGTAAGACTATTGACATTAGCAGACATGACCGTATGAACTATTTTCTATTTCACTGATTCTGAAAATATCTGCAGTCAGCCTCCAAGAAGGAAAATAGTTTTTAACAGCCTCCAAGTTTGATTGAATGTGGTGAAATAATAGAGGCTAAAGCAATATTGGCAAAGGTTGTTTCAAAATATGAGGACACTTTATTTCCAAGCATTGTTTCCTACTTTATATTCATGCTTAAAGCAAGTAATTTGGAATAAGAAAGCTTCAGTTCAGAGCCATAGAAAAGTTTCAGGATCTATAGCTTAAGTCACAATTTATAAAAGCTCCTCCCACCCACACCTACGGTACATATATGTGATTTATATGGTGGCAGAAAGCTGAATCATGCAAATTCCCCTGGAGAAAAAGTACCTAAATATACATGAGACCGTGGTGAGGTATTTTGAATAACACATGTTGTGTAGTCTGTCTGCCATCCTTGTAGCTCATATTTATATCTTTCTGAGGACTGAAACTTACACAAAGATTTTTCTTAGGTGCCCACAGCTCAGCTTCACCCTATTTTTTGAATATTCAAAATAAATCTAGTTGAACAAACTATGCTTCGTGTAGGTTAGCCAAGCTTTCCTTATCCACTCATCCTTTATATGTGCTTGACTTGCAACTTTCAGAAGGTGGCTGAGCATTTTGAGGTTTGTAATTCTGAAGCGTACAAATTTGGTGGCAGCTGGACTGAACATTGCATTATTCCTCTGTTTTATCCCTGAGGCAATAGATCAAGTCCTGTTTCCTTGCTCCTCAATTCTTCCAAATGAAGTGAAGGAAAGACATAATAATACTAGTATTTATATTCCGATTGATAATAAAAACAGACAAAATTACAGGCTTTTGTAATAAGATGGTGGGCCATCTACTTATAGTACTGGGCATGTATGTTTAAGGTTTAAGAACTTCATCTCTATGTAATAACTTAATTAACTTGTAGCTAGCTGTGGTTAGCTTGCATAAGTTTAATTAGACTAGGTGTGGCCCTGTAAATATTCATTCTCTCAGATCATTGGCCTTTCTGGTTGGGTTAGGATGAGTTTGGAGTCATAATGACACCCGGAAAGTCATAGATTCCCCATAATAACTATTGGAAAAACATAATCATGTTTATCAAATAGTTATTAGATTTTGTATATTTCTTTTTTTCCAATGCTTGAGAAATCTGAGTCTCTTTACAGCCTTTTGATATTAATATAGTAAAGCTTTTGTACAATCATAATGAGCTTCTGTTTATGCATTCAATTCTTTTGGCTGAAAAAGAGGGAGACCTCTTTGGTTTAGGCGCTAACATTGAGAGAAGAGTTACAAATTAAGTGGACTCTAAAGATGTATTTTTCCCTTTGGGTCTGAACCTAGGAATTGACTACTGTGCGTGTCCAAGATCCTCGAATACATAATGAGGGCTCGTGGAATTCTTATGTGGATTACAAAATATTTCTCCATGTAAGTATAGAAACACTGGGGAAAAACAGCAGTAAGTAACAGAACAGAATAACAGACTTGGAAGAGACCTTTTGAGGTCTTCTAGTCCAACCCTCTGCACAAGCAGGAGACCCTGTACCAATCCACACAAGGTTGGCCATTGTGGGAGGTGTCCTCCAGCTCCGCCACACATGTGAGACGAGCCTCCTGCAACGGCCAACAGACCCTGGGCAAACCCGTTGTTAAATTACCCACCACCACTATAAAAATGTGTCCTGGGTGCTATGCTGCAATGGAGAAACGGGAAATTGAGTGGCTGGCATAAGGGAAGGAGGAGGACCAGGGAGAAGAAAGAGGGAAAGTGGCCTCCTCCTTTCCTTGCGCCAGCTGCTCCGTTTCCCATTTTTTCATTGCAACGCCATGCTGCAGAGCTTGCGCACCCACCACAGCCCAGATGCTCTTGCTTCCCCCAAGCATTTCTTTGCCTACCTGATTTCCAGGTCTGTTGCGTTTCTCCATCGCGTTTCTTGCCTTCATGTGCAGGAAATAAAAGTTTTGTGGGACTGGAAAAAAAAATTAATAAATCAATTCCAACTTTGTGAGATCTTTTTTTTTTCTGTGATAAGTTCGAATTGATTGAACTTTTTTTTTTAATCCCACGAACTTATTTCCTGCAGGCAACAGCGAGAAACGCAATAGCGAAATGCAACAGAGCTGGAAATCAGGTGGGCAAAGAAATGCTTGGGGGAAGCAAGAGCATCTGGGTGCTGAAATAGGCCCATCTATTTCCAGCAGTTGCCCAAGCACACTGGAGGAAAGGCTGGCATCTACTAGCATTTAAATGCAGTGGCATTCCAGCTGTGGCTGGGAAGGGGCAGCTGGTATGGGCGCTGGAGGCAGGACGCCTGCTCATTTCAGTACCCTCCCTGAACCACTGGCGCTTCGCCAGCATTTTAGTTCTGGGCTGCTGCCTTATGTGCAGGCCCTGCCCCCCACTGCCTGAGACAGTTTTTGCCTGAGTGACATGATCGAAGGTTTCCGTCGTTCCTCTCTTGGACTTTTGGGGAGGGTTTTTTTTTCCCCCTGCCTGGAAGGAAATTGAATGAAACCAGACGTGTTCCAGAAAACACAGATTTTCCAGAAGACGTCTAACTGATTCACTGAACTCAGCAAAAAATTTAGTTGTACCAACTGATGCGAACCAGCTGAATCTCACCATTGTAACTGTCCAAAAAGCCTCCAGGGATGGAGGTCTCACAACTTTTGAAGGCGAGCTGGTTAATTGTTCTCATTATTAGGAAATTTCTCCTTAGTTCTAGTTTACTTCTTTCCTTGATGATAAAACTATTTTCTTGCATGCTTTGCAGAGCACCAGATATGAAACAAACATCTGCTATTGATGTGGAAAAAAAAACCTTGTGCTTGATTTTTTTACTTCTGCGGACTTACTTAGTGGAGAAGTAACAAAAAACAGTGGGAATTTCCCATTATTCTTTCATTCTGCAAACTGTTGTACTTTACAAGCATGGGAAAATTGCTTCTGTTTAGTGCAACTTTTAAGATGTGTGGCGTTCACCTCGCAGAAGAGAAAGAAGTCTGGGAGTTGAAGTTCACACATCTTAAAGTTGCTGAGGCCAGGGAGACAGCCATTTTTGACCCATTTCTTTTCCCATCCATTTGGTAGGGATTATTACCTTTGTAGACATGCTATGCCTACTCGAGGTATACTGCAACTATTTTCCCTGGTTCCCCCTGAAAATCATAAAACTGGTATTTTCTGGCATTTTTTTTTTGGATGTGGGAACCACTGGGCCATGGTGGTGCAGTGGTTAGAAATACAGTATTGCAGGCTAACTCTTCTTACATTGCCAAGAGGTCAATTCCTTTGATCCTAACTGACTTAAGATTGACTCAGACTTCCATCCTTCCAAGGTCGGTAAAATGAGGACTCAGATTTTTGGGGGCAATATGCTGAGCCTGTAAATGCTAAGAGAGTGCTGTAAAGCACTGTGAAGTGGTATATACCGTATTTTTCAGAGTATAAGATGCACTTTTCCCCTCAAAAAAGAGGCTGAAAATCTGGGTGCATCTTATACACTGAATACAGCATTTTTTGCCTCCTGAAACCCAACCCCCTTCACCAAAATGGTCGTGCTTAGCTTTTAGGAACCTTGCAGAGTGCTCCTGGGGGCTCGGGGGGGGGGACGGACAAAATTGAGCAAAAAACAGCCCATTTTTTGCTAATTTCTGCCCTCATTTTGCTCAATTTTGCTTCCCCCCCCGCAGCCTCCAGGAGCACTATATAAGCCTCCTAAAGGTTATGCATGCCTTTTTTTTGAAAAACAGTGAAAAAAAGGGCCATTTTTAGGAGGTCTGCAGAGTGCAAAAACTTTTTAAACTTTTTTCCTTTTCAAAACCTTGGTGTGTCTTATACTCTGAAAAATACGGTAAGTCCAATTAAGTAAATTTAACAGCTAATTTTCAGCAATATACGTATTCCTGAAGGTTATTAGGAACCATGAAACAGGGAATGGGGCTTGATGCAGACTGTCCCATTGTCTTCCGAATGAGCTTTGAAGGGAGAGAAATCAATATGTATAGTTTCAGTGTGGACATAGAAGCTGGTTTGCTTTAGGGGGAGAAACAGGGATCGGACTATTAGTCCCTCATGCAATTAAAGAAGAATGGGAGACAATACACTAGTAATCCTGGATTTTCAACCACAGTTGAATCCAAGGTTTCTGTTGCTAAGCAAGACAAGTTGTTAAGTAGGTTTTATGACCTTTCCTGTCACCGTTGTTAAGTGAATCACTGCAGTTTTTAAGTTAGTAACATAGTTGTGAAAGAATTTTGCTTCCCCCCCCCTTGACTTTGCTTGTGAGAAGGTTACAAATGGTGATCCCATGAACCAGCAACATTGCAACTGTTGTGAATACATGCCATTTGCCAAGCATCTGAATTTTGATCGCATGATCATGGTTATATCAGAAGTGTGACAAACAGTCATAGTCACTACTTTCAGTGCCACTGTAACTTTGAATGGCCAATAAATGAATGGTTGTAAGTCAAGGACCACCTGTATTGTTATGTTCCAGGTGTGAACTTCCCTGTAGCACCTGACTGACTGTAACTTTGGTTTCATGCACCTTTCCTTAAATTATTATTAGAAATTGCAACCAACATCAATCTTTTGTTTCCCCACTTTTTACATTGCACAGTATGAAACGCTTTGAAAATCAAATTAAATAGAAAAAGTGAAACATGACAAGAGGAGAATCGTGGTGTAACTTTAAAGAGGCAGACAGGCAATGCATATATTTGTAACTGATATAAACAAAATTGAAAGCTACTTTATACTTCTTTTTTCCTTTATTCACCAGTTTTCTTTACTTGTTTTTCTTAAATTTGTATTCCTTTTATTTGCATAAAATTCTTCAATAAAAATCAATTAAAAAAGAAAATCAAATGGATTTTTTTTAAAAAAATGACGTTTAATCAAAGTTCACTCTTAAAACCAAAAAAATGCTATGATAAAAGCTGTTTATCATAGCAATTCTCTATTAGCACAGCAGCCAGCAGAGGGAGACAGTATAGAAAGAGATTTGGAGTGAAAAAAACAGGTGGAATAAACCTTGTATCAACAACAATCTTTCTTCTTATTTTACAGACCAACAGTAAAGCTTTCACAGCCAAGACATCTTGTGTCCGCAGACGATATCGTGAGTTTGTGTGGTTAAAGAAACAGCTGCAAAAAAATGCTGGCTTGGTGTAAGTGTGAGATTGTATTTTTTAATAGTGGCTTAAACCATCAAAGGACATTTGCACATCATTTGAAAATATTTCAGTGATAAACGAATATAATTTTTTGGACTGGTGCTAACACTGGCGCTTTTAAACTTACCTTAGAAATGTCAATGTTGAAAATATGCTTGAACCGTAATATATAATTATGCATTAAAACTGAATAGAATTCAGCAAAGAGCTTTAGCTCATCTGCATACTGACAGACTTAGAGTCAATTTCTGAGGTGAAAATTCAGTAAGTTGAGGTGTTTCATGGAAGACTAATGGAAATTCCAAAATATAATAATGGTTTTATATTTTGAATTTTACTTTTCATTTTATGCATTTCAAAGAAAGCTTAATGAGCTTGTTGATTTTATTGCAAAATACAATTTATAAACTTTCAGGGGAAAAGATCCCCAACCTTGACTTATCATCTTGGAACAATCCCCCAAAACCTTTTCATAAATCCACCTTATGGATATAGCACAATACTGTTTGAAGGTACTGCTTGAGCTTGCAGAGGATTTGAATTTTTGCAGAGAGAGCTGTTAATGATCCAGAAGTCCAACTCTTGGAGAAGATACATTCTTCTTTGTCAGCATTGCTGCTGAATTAAATTAGCTTCACTGTAGGCTCCAAGCCTTGATGGGAATAGACTTTTAATAGAATGGTAACACCTATTTTAGTGAAGAAGAAGCTCACGGAGTAGCAGAAGATTGCTAATTACTTTTTATTGTGGATGCATCCTCAAGGAGGGATATATTTTTATATGTGTGTAAACATGTCCCTTATATCCTTTAGGCCTGTCCCAGAACTTCCAGGGAAATCTACTTTCTTCACAGGCAATACTGATGAATTCATTGAGAAACGAAGACAAGGATTGCAACAGTTCTTGGAGAAGTGAGTGGGGAACAAGATTATTATTGGAGATAGAACATTTTCTGGATCCCAGAAGATTAGAATTTATTATCAAGTTTATAATGGTGTGGAGAAGATAACATAATCAAGATAGTTTCAATTTATGTGAATAATCGAACTTATAGCTTAGTTGATTTTTTAAAAAACAAAATAAAAAATATGACAAGAAAAAGTTGATATACAGTTAGAAAATTTTGGAAAACCCAAAGCCTGTCAAAAGAAGACATATCTCATATCTCCGATACAGATCAATGTTCCTGGCAAATTTCCTAGGAATTTCCTAGGAGTAATATTGATCTCCCCTTCTGCAGCTATAGGAACAAATCAATAATTGACAGTATTCCCATTACAGTGGCAGAAAGCTTTGATGCCACAGCAGCTCTGCTCTTAGGACTCTAACAATGGTGGGGAAAATGCCAGCGTGGGTGGAGAAAGTCATATATTTGCTACAAAAACTTCTTTCCTTTCCTTCTGTAAAGGAAGAATTATATGCTAGCACTATAGTTGGCACATTCCTTCCCCCTCTCAATGGAAACATTGCAGTCAAATTGAACAAAGGCTGGCCAAGGCTGCCAGAAGATTTTTTTTTAAAGAAAGGTGGGGTGGGTGGGTGTATTTCTTCTACCGTAGATTCTCACTTCATACCTTGAGAGTCACTCTGTCTCTCAGAATCTCAGTTGTGCTTCAGCAGTAAAAGGTATTAAGACTTTAAATGGAAAGTGCTATTTCTGAAGATCTGATTATTGTAGCATTTGTGCTTAGAATTTCCAATTCTTCTATTCATATTCTAGGACGGTACAGAATGTTGTACTCCTTTCAGATAGCCAGCTGCACCTTTTCCTACAAAGCCAACTCTCTGTACCAGAAATTGAAGCTTATGTGCAGGGTCGGGGCCCTATGAGTGTCACTGATGCCATTCTCCACTATGCCAGGTCCAATTGTGGTTGGATTCAGGAGGACAGTCATTCAGCTTTGCTGGCTGTGCATGACTTTGGCAACAGGTGAGTGGAATGGATGTAATGGTCCAGAAGACAGTAATCACAGTTTCTTTTCCAGGATTTTTTGCACTTCCTGTCTTCTATGCTTGTCCATGGCTTCCCGCCGTTTTTATGAGTTCTTGTTTGCAAGATCTCTAATACAGATTGTTCTAGAGCTGTAGAAATAAAGATTCCAAAATCAAATCTGAAGGGGACACTTAGATATGGGGCTTTAACTTCTCTGCAATAATGTCAGTTATATCGACATGACAGGGGCATAGGTATGACTGAGATGGGGAAGTACGTGCTTGGAATATGATTGCATGTATGATCTGAGTTTAGGGATGTGCATATATGTTAGGGCTCGAAACCCAGCAATAAATGTCAGTGTAGGGCCAGAAGGATTGACAACAGCTAATTTTCTCTTTCTCTTAACCCACCTAATAGGAAAAGGAAGTGGGAGATCACTATTTGGCTGGAAATTGGTTTATGTGTTCAACAGTTGACTTTCTGTCTGTTGTGTCTGTCATGTCTCCCGTGTCTGTCTGTCTTTCTCTCAGACTGGTTCTGTTTCTTTCTTAATGAAGAATCACTTCTAGAACTTTTGATTAAGTAGTAATGACAGGTATGATTTTGGCAGATATGTGATTTTTTTTACTAGAAAAAGCATCCAATCTCTCATTCTTTTGTACCATAAGTTATGGCATCATTTTCTTGTTTGATTCTATGGAATTTTAATGGAATTCCCAAACACATTCAGATTTGATTATGACTTGTATCCAGTCCATATGGAAAAATGTATCATTCTTTTTTCCTCCATATCCCAAGTTTTATTTGCATGTAGAATTTGGAGAAGCAGATGTTAAAATCATTTGTCACACTGTCTAATATCCTAGCATCTATTATCTTTTAAGGAATATATATATATATATATATATATATATATATATATATATATATATATATATATATATATATATATATATATATATATATATATATACACACACACACACATACATTTTCTGAGGTTTTCGCGGGTGTTAGTATGTATGTCTTTGGTTATTCGGGTTTTCTCCTGCGTAAAATTGGAAGTGTCTTGGCGACGTTTCAATGAAGTCTCATTCGTCATCTTCAGGCTTTGTGCTTCCAGGAGCAGTGGAAGCATGAAGCCTGAAGATGACGAATGAGACTTTGTCGAAACGTCACCAAGACACTTCCAATTTTACGCGGGAGAAAACCTGAATAACCAAAGACATACATACATACATACATACATACATACATACATACATACATACATACATACAATCAATCAATCTGTTAAATGTGGTAGTTTGTTTCTGTAAGAAACTGAGTTAGTTATGCATGGTAAAGACAGTTTTAGATGTGTTTACCTTCCAGACATTTCTATACTTGCATCAAATTACAGCACAAACAACAAACTTTCGACAGCATCCTTTTCTACCTCCTCAAGATGTTACCTTCACCTAATTCCCCAGCCCATAGCTGTTGTCCTTAACTATATCATTGTTAAACTAGTACTTTCCCCCTTATCCTAATAGATGTTTTGCCATGGATACAATCTAATGTGCTTTATTAATCATTCTGTGACACAGCCAGGGAACCTCTAGCTTGAAACTTATTGGCCACTTAGGCTATACCAACAGTTAACCAACTTTTCTATTAGACCTGTGCATTACTTTTAGTATATTCTTATTTAAGCAGTCCTTACAAACCAGATCTCTTCCGGTATTCTCCTGGAACAGAAGGTTTACTACTATTGCAGAAGAAAATATAGATCATTTTGAACATATGCTTAATGTTTTTCTGGAATATTGTTAAATCTGTGTCCAGTAAACACTACCCCCCCCCCCAATGTATAACAGTTGCATAAAATCCAGCAGGTTTTGACAGATAGCTAAATTCACTGGTCTAGTCATCTTCAAAATACTTCTCCTTGTTCATCCCATCCAAAGTTAAAGAGAATTTTTACAGGATGCTTTCCTGTGGACTGGTGAATGTTGAAAGGAAGTGAAAAGACACAATTTTTGCCCTAACATATCCCATATATCATAAATAGGAACAGTAGTATTTTCTGGCAGCATGCTTGTGGCCAGATAGGGAATCACTTGTTGAGTAGGCACACTGTGTTGGCATTTATATTGGTGCCATCTCAGAAACTGGGGCATAACACTTGGACATCAGAAAGCGCTCATAGACCTCTAGTCATGTTCTAGACCAGCGATGGTGAACCCTTTTTGGCTCACGTGCCATAAGGGGGGGGAGCGCAGGGGGGGGTTGTGTGTGGGCTTGCCACACCCATAATGCAACACGCAACCCCCCCAGTGTGCATGCGCACATGAGAGGGCTCCCCCCCCCCAATTTTTGCATGATTTTTTCATCCTCCCCAGGCTCCAGTAGCTTTACAGGAGCCTGATGAGGGCGAAAACAGTCTCCCCTATCCCCCCCGGAGGCCCTCTGGAGGCTTCAGGGACCTTCAGGAGGCTTCCCTGAAGCCTCCAGAGGACTAAAAAGGACCCTATGAGCAAACTGGAAGTCCCGGTTTGCTCATAGGGTACTTTTTAGTCTCCGGAGCCTTCAGGGAAGCCTCCTGAAGGTCCCTGAAGCCTCCGAAGGGCTTAAACCAACCCTACAAGCAAACCGGAAGTCCATTCCCTAACTTCTGGTTTGCCCATAGGGCCATTTCTTTGTACTCCGTAGGCTTCAGGGAAGTTCCTGAAGCCTCCAGATGGTCTCGGGGGGGGGGGGGGGAGGCTGTTTTTGCCATAGGTTCGCCATCCTGGTTCTAGACCATGAACCTCTGAGCAGTAGAATTCTGGGAATGAATCAGCAGCTTTAAATTAAATATCTCTTTCTTTCTCTGTTGCTCTCAACTCTCCTGGTATGTGCTCAAGTTTTGATGAAGAAAGCCAGTTTGTCCAAAGCTCCATAGAACCACTCCCTCATTGGAGTGATGTCAGCATAGATGGCAACAAATTGGAGAGTCCGTGTTCTGAGGAAGATGACCATCAACCAACAGGACTGCTACAGGCTGGTTCCACAGCATCAAATCACCACATCAATTAGCGAGAATAAGAAAGCCCATTCAGGATGTGCTTTGGAGCTCAGCATAAACTTTTGCCACTTAAGTTGAAAATTATTTGGATTATTAGAACTCCAGGCGGAAGTGTTTGGATTATTCCTAGTGGCTTGGGTGTGAAAAGCCTGGACCAGTGAACTGTTTGAACAATTAGAATTGAAGCATATGAATGCAGAAGTAGTTTTCCAGTATGCTTTTTTTCTGCTCTTCCACTTTGATCCCTCGTCTTCCTCAACTTTTTGTATATTTTGACAAATTATCCTGCATAGGAAAATGCTCTGGCTTGTTGACTATGTTCTCTTCCCTCATCCTCCATATCTACATCTGATAATGCTTGTTGCACAACCCCAGCTGCCTTTTGTAGGTGTATCAAAACCATTTGCCTGTAGTACAGCTTCTTTTTAAGATGGTGCCAGAAAGCCCACCTGCTTGCCATGAACGCCAAATCCACATCTGGGTTTTTTGGTAGATATACACAGCTGGGACAAATGGCCAGACTCCCTCCCCAATTCATTATTGCTAGAGCTGCTAAGAGGAGCAAGTTATAAATATTCAAGGGAAATGAGGAATGACAATCTGTATTCTTCTTAGTTGTTAGGTGCACATCCTGGGAAGAGTCATTCTTGCTATATTTCATTGCTTTGACACAGCATACAATTTGACAAGGAGACAGTAATAAACCCCATCTTATATACTAAATAAAAATTATACTTGTCTGCCTAAGTCCTCTTATCAGTATCATTATTATAGTAGCAGCAAAACAGCAATTCCATAAGTCTAGGTATTTCAGTTTGCAGATTTCTTATTTGACTTGTTTGATCTTTGAGCAAAATATAAAATTGAAATCAACAGACTCCGAAGAGCCTGGAAGATCTGCAAGCGCCTGCTTGAGATGTTTCAGTCCCTTCCTTTTTCTTCCCTTCCCCCTGCATTTCCATACACTACACAATAGAAGCTAAATATCAGACCTCTGTTATCTCTCTCCCAGTTTTTGTCCTTTAAACTGGGCAGAGAAACACAAATAAGGCAATTTTTGCCACAAATAAATATTTATCCTATGGGCAGTGGCTTTTTTTTGTTTTTTTTGTTTAACTAAATTACTTGAGGGGGTTTTGTCTTCTTTGTGTTCTCTTGTGATGACAATCTCAACAAATGTACATGAAAACAGAACAATTATTATTTAAAAAGAACTAGTACATTGCTTATACCTCTCTTCCCACTCTTATCTTGTGATGGTTATTTTCAATTTGAATTTTGCTTTTATTATAGAACCCACAAAGGAACAATGCTTAAAGCTGTAGAAAAAACTAAGTAAAACAAATAAATAAAATAAAATGGCAAAAAATGGCAGGTTTTCACGTATGTGTGAAATATACAGTACACATACATCTATGCACAAGCCCATACAAACCATTTCACTAAATGGTTGCCATATTTTATAATTATCCATATCTAAACTAAGTCAGTAAGTGATTTGCTTGTAAAATATTAATCCTGTAGACTTCTAAATTGTTGGGACCATATATTTATTTTTCCAATGCTGAAATCTTTTAATATAAACAGAGAATCTACTTTCTTTATATGCATAAGAGTATGGTTCAAAATGAACATCCGGAAATATTAAATCTTGTCTCAAAATTGACTTAATACATGTAACAGTTTCTTCCCCCGATGGAACCTTTATAGAACCCTGTATAAACATATATTTAATCAAAGCATTGATTTCACTGCTGTTCCCGTCATCTGAGGATTTACTCAAGCTTCTCCAATGTTTGTGATGAGGACCTGGGGAGAAAATGAATCACCTTTTCTTTCATGATTTTACAGTTTGTAGAGTAAGAATAAAGTAAACCCATACTAGAATTTCCTTTAGTTCATGTTTCTCAGTATGTGGGTCATCAAGAAAACTGCAACAGGTTGCAAAACGGTAATATTCAGCAGCAGTTTCCTCAGTTGTATCAATTGTCATAAAATTACAACATGCCAATCCTATGGTAAGTGCATTATTCTTACAAGAAATCCCTGAATTTATATTTTTTAAAAACCACGCTGTTCTCAAACCAACTATCTCACACCAAACTTGGTCCAAATTCATTTTGCCAGCCAAGAGTTGCCAAATGTTTGTTTTGACTTATTTGTAAAAATAAAGGGATATAAATAAATAACACATCCCACATTTCAACTATTCTTACATAGAGAAACATATAGTTGCGTATGTACACATATATATGCCTCCCTTCTAGCAAAATATAGAAAACAAGGGTGATGGGGAAGATGTAGCCAATGTAAGAGGAAAAAAAGGATATGCTATGAAGAAAAGAAAAACAAAGTGAGATTCAAAATTAGATGAATTTGAAGAATCATAACCAAGGGAAAGAAAATAGAAAAGCTCCCTTTTCAGGCAGGATTAAATTCACCACGCAAATAGCCCTTTTCAAGCCTCAAGTAATCTTTGGGCTAAACCATTAAAAACAGGGATGTGATATCTTATCTAATGGGTGCATTTAGGCTAATTCTTTGTTTTCAATCACATCTGTTTTCAGAGAAGGTAAAGTTGTATTACTGATAAACATGGCACCTTTCATTCCTGAAGACAAACAAAATACACTATTAGTTTCACCAAGGATTGTTTTGGACAGACACACCCACATCACACACAAATGAGTTGTTGTGCTACAGTAGATTGACTTGAAATAACTAAGATCCAATAGGCAATGCTATTTCTCCTTCCAATTCTAAAAAATGCAAATCTTTGCATTTGCTAGAGTGGGCACCTTCAGTCAATGTGATTTGAGGGGTGCCATATTCCTTTGATCTGGAATTAAAGGAATTTTTTCCTCCTCAGATGACTTTGTTACCTCAAAGTTGGAAAGTGTGTGATGGTCAAAATTAAAGCAACCATTAATTGGAGATACAAAAAAATTGTATATCTTTCTGTTTCCTCTCTACCAAGGAAGATGTAACAGGGAATATTTATGTAGCAATTTTCACTTAAGAAAATTAAGAACTTATATAAGAACTTTGTAGGAGCTCACTCACTTCTGCCTTACAAAATGTAGTGGAGTTACTATAGATAAGGCCATTGGAGAGCTTTAATTAAGACGGTTTTCTACAGTGGACTTGCCCATTGCTTATGAAAGAGTAGATTTTGATATAGATGAAGATAGCATATGGGCCACAGCTGACTTTGCAGGCTTATTTTGTGTTTGAGACTTGGACCAGATAAGATTCTTGGTTAAATAGGCTTTTGGCTTGATGATGGACCAATGGAGTATAGACACTCAAAATCTCAGTTAAGCAGGAAATGTATTTATACCTCTCTTAATTATGTGTGTGTGTGTGTGTGTGTGTATTGGTGTTTATCTATATATATTGGAAGGCTTTCTAAATCTGTTCTCTCAAGGTGCTGGACTACAAACAATGAAATTTCTAACCAGCATACTAGCTGGGAATTTGGGGAAACATAGTTCCAATATGTATTGTTTAAACTGCATGGAATTTGTGGAATGAATTTTTCTCATGTCCTTCCAGTACCATAAGACCCCCAAGGACCCATGCATGAAGTATCTTGTGGGGTCTTGTGTTAGAAGGATATGTACAAAACAATACTGGAATTTGTAACTCAATATGTTTTTAAAGAATTGGGGTGTGATTCTGGTTGTCAACCTCCTCAGATTGCAGTTTTACATTTCAGGGGCATTTTGGACCTCTGTCGCATAATGGATTAAACCAAGCACACAGGTGGAGGGCAAGGGAAGAGGACTTTGAAACCTATGGAGGAACATTCTCAAAATGTCAAAAGAAGTTCACTTTAAAGAAAAACTCAAAAGAGAACAAGCCTCTTTCACTAGCCAGATGCTCACTAATGACAGCTACTCTGCTGATTGGCCAGGCTGCCTCATGAATATTGATGGGAACGCATGATCCAAATGGCACAGCTGTGCAACCACCTGCCTTTGCCAGCTTAGCTTTCGAAGCTTCCAGAGAGTAGCTTGGAGCTTTTGGGAGACTTGATTTCCCATCTTGAAAACTCTGCACCAATCTTCTTGTCCTCTTTTGAGTGAAGTTCTCCTTTCTTTTCCAGCTAGGAGAGATGTAAAGAGATGATAACCAGAGGAGTCAATGCAATTTAAGCAGAGTTTTACTTTTATCCAAGTTCAGTTTTTATATTTATTTCCAGTATGAGATATTATATAGAGTCAGACATATAAAAAGATGATTGCCTTTATTCAACTAGCAGTTGACTTGCTCCAAACTGTGTGGATTATTTCTTCTAGTACATGCTTCAAAATGAAATAACAAGTGATGGAGGCATATAAGGTAGTACTAATCTCAAGCTGCAAGTGTTAATGTTTATGTTTGACTATTCCCATTAGTTTTTTTTAAAGCAGCTACGGTATACTATATAATGATCGCAAGTATAAATCTAACACAGCAAGGCAAAGACTCTGTTAGGAGGGCTGTGTTCAGTTTGATATTTTCTCCATCGGAGTTCTTGTCTAATGCAAGAAAGTGTAATACAGTGCAGCTCAGCTGTAGGTTGTAGTTCAGAATTTCTACTCCTCCCTGTTATCCAATGGCTCATAATGTCTCCAGGTTATCACAATGCAATGGAAGCCAGGAGAGAAGAGAGCCCTATAGGTAATTTAAGAATGGGTTAGATGAATTCACATGTCCATTAGTATTAAAGTGGGCCAATAAGTGGTGTAATTAGAACCTGCCTCTCAAAACACCAAATTTTTAATGTCAAAGATGTTCAATTCTTTCCTAATCTGTTGATTTTCATTTGAATCAGGATTGCACCCTCATAATGCTGCTTTGGAATCACAATGCTAATATCTTCCAGAGGCATTGGCCAGCTGCAGCTGTGTTATCTGATTTTAAAATAATGCTATATATGCTCTGTATTAAAGTCAGTGGAACTTTTCCCTTACAGTTGGGAGCTGGCTAGAGTCCCCCTATAAATAGTCTGAGCTAGCTAGAAAGTCTTTCTTTTTAATTTTTGCTCAGAGAAATGACAACATGACTCTACTGTGCTTGGACAAGGCTTTGTTAGCCTGACCTATCACAAAGAATCCTAGGAGCAAGGTTCAGTCATGCTGAGCTTCTGAAATGCTCATCCTTGGAATATGTCATTCAATATGCAAAAAAGAAAATCTCCAAGTCTTTTTAACTTCCAGTCATATACAAATTCTGGAAGCTTAAATTTTATCTCTCAGTAGCTGTGCAAACAAGCCCTGTTAAAATACCACTGACTGAACATATGCAGAATTATAATCTCTATTACTTTTAGAAATCACATAGTACAAATGTGTGGCATTTCATGAGTTAAAAAAAAAACACGATTCCCTGCTGGAGTAAGAGCAATATCAACATCTGCATGCTTTATTTTTAGATTTAAGCTGATTTAATCTTCCTGCTGCCCTGGGATCCATTTATTAGGCTCCCTGCAAAGGACTAATGGCTTGGCAGTTCTTTTATTCATAATGAGTTCTTAGCTCAAGTGCTGGTCCATCTTTCCCCTTTTTAGGCCTTTACTTGATCATACGCAGTTCCAAATTTCAGAGGCAGAAAATGACAGCTTGGAGCCGAGAATCTTCTTTGAATCGTTGATTATGTAAGGAAAGAGGAAATAAGAATTGCACATGCTCAGGTGATTCTCAATTCAGCTGGGTTCTTCTAAGAGAAACTGTTGGAAGGATGCTCCATATCTGAAGGCCGGTGTGCTTCATTCATTCCTACTTCAAAAGGTGTACTTCCTATTCATTGAAGAGTTGACTGCCTCTTCCTGACTGCTCATTCCAAACTATAATTTTCTGGGTGTGTGAAGATAACACCCCCACCCCCACCCCAAATAACAAGCTGGTGGCTGGATCTAGTGTTGGAGACATGAACCTCTCCCCCAGCTTGTTTCTTTCTCTCTTTTTCCCCTGCTGTTGGCTGGATTTCTGACAGAGCATCATTAAGGCTCCCCAAGTCTCTCTGCCTTCTGCTCCATTCCAAGTTTCTCTTGGCAGTCGTTTGCCCTTTTGTTGTTGTTGTTGTTTTAAAATAGAGAAAGTGATTTCTGCTGCGCCTGCCAGCAGCCTGGAATTTCAGGGTGGTGATTAGGGGGGAGAAAGGGGGAAAAGAGAGGGAAAGAAGGAGGGAGGGAGGTTGAGTGCTGTGCTATAACAGGCTCATTAAGCTCAGGGTGGCAGGGTGGCAGCTGTGGATCGAGATGTGGGCAGCCATCTGAGACGCCGAGAGAAAAAGAGATGCGTCTCTCCATCAAGGCCTGGACATGAATCCTGTGCTTTGATGCTCTATGGGCAGCCCCTGCCAGGGAGTGAGGGAAACCCATCAGACTTGGTTTGAACCAAGATTTCAGTCAGAACTTTCCTGCACCAGAATCTGCCACAGCTCACCTGGGTTGGGATGTTTTCATTTGATGTTTTCTTTGACAACATTTTGTTTCATGTTTTGCCTTTTTGTAATATCAACCTCTGCTCTTTGGGTTTGAGATGCTAATGCAGTGCTGAGCCCAGCTGATAGCATCAAATGCATCCTTCTGAAAGTTTAGGTGCATCACAGAGGAATCTCTAAAACGGTTACTCAGTTGCAACACAAAGGGGCAAATTAATAAATGCATCATTATAGAATAATTAATTCATATTTAATGTAAATAAGTCAAATAATTTTAGTTCTGGGTAAACTGGCATGTTTTTGGCATGCAACCCTACTTTAAAATAAAATTTGCTGGGAACACAGATACTTAAACCTTAAATGTGAATGTGGCACTTCCCCCCACAGAGGCCACTAAGGTTGCAAAATAATGAAGATTCCACTCAGCATGTGCAGAGTGCATTTCTTTCATGGCCAGATATA